TTTGAGACGCTTGGTCGTATGGGAGCATTTCGCGAGGTGCAAGGGAAGGGTGATCAGCCGCAACCCTAGACACCCACCCCCGACAATACTGAGGAAACACTTATGGATTATCATGATGTATGCGGACTATCGCAGATGTTTTTTTCCTCTGGAATTTGTTTCACCATTTACAATTTGAAGACTGTCACTATCACATTTTCTGATTTAGAACCGAACATTTATTTTAGGAGACGGAAATGTTTCACTAGGGGCTGTTTCCTGCTGGGCTCACTCCTACTAAAGTCGCTGCGACGACAAAAGAAACGTGTGTACAAGTCTCACAATGCTTCGTCTGTTAGGTATTGGTCGAGGCTTATCAACGCTGAAGTAAATAGATTGAACGCATTATTCTCTGATCGAATTCTGAGGANTAAGACTTCTCTGTAGAAGGAGGAACGTACGGTCGAAGCTGGATGTGGATGCTGATGATGTTGATGCCACATTCATGCGCCAGTCATTTGACATTCTTCCTGCCTACTCATCACAAAATATTTGTAACGTGGAACCACTCCCATACTGTGGTGTGTTCAAACTTTTATTAAGTTGCAAATCGTCTTCTGCTGCAGGCTCGGATGATTTACATCCAGTCCTCTTCGAATTCGGTGCTGCTTCCCTATCTGGGGCAATTACCTCCATTGTAAATGAATCTCTTCGCACTTCTACTATCCCCTACTGTTGGAGGCCAAAGCATCCAAATCTTCTATCCTCTCCAAACGTTTTCGTCCCATAGCATTAACATCTTCAGCTCTTAAATTGACTGAAAAGGCCATCCTCAAACGCCTTCAGCAGCCTATAAACATTCCCAGTGATCCGTTACAGTTTGCTTACGAGCCCAATAGATCGACCCTAGACGCAGTCTCCACCCTCATTCATTTCATCACTAAATCTTTGAACAGCTCTGTTAGGTCTGTTTGGTGTTTTTCTGGACTTCTCTTCTGCATTTGATTCCATTCCTCGATCTAAGTTGTTACGAAAACTGGAATCGTTTGAGTGCCCCGCGCAGTTGTTAACTTGGCTATCCAACTATTTTACCGATAGGGTACAAACCACTAGACTGGGGAAGGCCACATCGAATCCCTTAGTCAACAACTCCTTCAAAGAGCGGTGCTATCCCCATGCTTATTTTCCACTTATATTTATGATATTCCCTGTGTTTCTCCCGCACGAATTTTGAAATATGCAGATGATGTCGTGTTGTGCCAACCCATTTCTTCTTACTCTGATCTAAGCTCTTTCACCGATAATCTTAATCCAATTCAGTCATTCTCCTCCTCATCGGGGCTAACCCTGAACCCCAGTAAATGTGTTGAGTGTTTATATAGTTTTACTCGCTCCCCATATCCGATAGAAGAGGCGAATGAACCGAAGACTGACCATCTGCTCATCTGGAGCATTACTGCTACCTTGCAGTCCGCGCTTGGTTGCGCAAAAACTAGAGCACATCCTCAAACAAGGCCTACTCTGAACCGGGCGACCGAATAGTACAATAGCCCACAACGCATACAAATCATCAACCTTGCTCTTACGATTATGTACTTTGATGCTTTTTCATCCTGCAAAACATTCTACACCGTACACACCCTTTTGTTCTCCCAGCCTCCCCACAGCTCATCTCTACCTCCCCAACACTCCATCTCTCTTGGGTGCTTCAGACGATCGTACTAACAGTAGTGCCTCGGGCGGAAATTCTCCCGCTGTTCGCTCTTGTCCTACCTCGACTAGCATCCAAGTCTCACCGAGTCCTCCAGCTGACGCCCTTCTTCGCCCTCGATGTCCCTTCAAACTAGCCACGTTTAATATGTGTGCCCTGATGCGTATAGGACAACAGGCGTGTTTAGCTCGTACGCTCGAAACCCTAGCCATCGATGTGTGTTGTATCCAAGAAACTCGCATCCAAGACTCTAGCTCCATTATCTGATTGACGTCCCCGTCAAACCCATCAGTGAAATTTCACTTACGCCTCTCTGGGGACCCCGAGGCTGCGGCTTCCGGTCTCGCTAGCGTCCGCGTGGCTCTCAGTGAGAGAGCTGAGGCCGCCCTCCTGGACTGGATCCCAGTCGACAGTAGGTTGTGCGCGGTGAGACTCAGAGGTTCGTGCAAGATAAGCAGCCGTCGCCACGATAGACGAAACTTGTTTGTCGTTTCGGCCTACGCTCCAACGGACTGCAGCCCAGATGTAGTCAGAGATGAATTTTACCACAAGCTTTACGACCTCTTGTGTAAAGCGACCCAGGCTGACATGGTGATTTTAGCAGGAGATATGAATGCTAGAGTAGGCCGGTTGACTTCGAGTGAGGCGCACCTGGGAGGTCCTTTTGGACTAATTCCTGTCGCTCAGAAAACGGGGAGCGGCTGTTGGCTCTCTGTTCCGACCACCGCCTATTCCTCGGCAGTGCGAAATTCAGACGCTCCAACTGCCGGTACACCACCTGGCGTCCACCCTCCTCGACTCAGCGACGAACACAGATCGACCACATCGCGATAAGCCACAAATGGCGGGGTTGCATTCAAGACTGCCGATCGTACTGGAGCACTCCCCTCGAATCCGACCACGCATTACTATGCGCCAAGCTGTCCATGTGCCTCGGTGGGCGTTCTAAAAGCACGACACAACGACGGCTCGACTGTGATAATCTGTCCAAACCAGCTTGTCTAACTGCCTTCCAAAACGCGCTAGCTGAAAAGCTAGAACCAGGCCCACTGGATGATGTTAACCATCACTGGTCGCTTATCAAGAATGCTCTGTATTCTGCTGGCTTAGTTGTGGTCTGACACGTCGCGCCGTGACACCCGGAGTCTCTACGCTTTCTTGATGCAATTTGGTCAATTCCGACCGGCAGCGAGCATAATGAAACACGACTCGTGACGAGAGGTGAACTCAATGGAAGCCTACGCAGAGACCGCGAGATTTGGTGGTGTCAATGCGCATCAGAGATGGAACGTGTTGCCGCCATAGGTAATTCCCGTAAGTTGTTCCATCTCATCGGGGTCACCCGTAGCAAAGCCCTTGTTGTGAGCAAAACGATCTGCGAAGCTGACGGTTCGACCATTCACAATCAACGGCGACGTCATGCACGCTAGGCGGAGCACTTCAAAGCACAGTGTAGCTGGCCTCCAGCGTCAGCTTCTCACACAGTTATTCCGGCATACATCCCATGGTCTGTCTCGACAGACCCACCTTCTGAGGCAGAAATCCATAAGGAGATCCAAGCCTTGGGACATCACAAAGCGCCGGGCTCCGATGGCCTTCCCCCTGCTCCATTTAAAGATGATAGAATGAAGCTTGTTAGAGGACTACAGGTTCTGTTTTCTAAAGTTTGGAACTCTAAATAAGTCCCCTCCTCGTGGGGGGAATCGATTGTTGTCCCCATCTTCAAAAAGTGCCCGCGCAATGACTGCGCCAATCGTAGGGGTATAAGCCTGATTCCAATAGCGTCAAAGCTGTTGGCGTCCGTCATCCTCCGCCGATTGTACACGACGCGTGACGAGCAGACCCGCGAGGAGCAGGCTGGGTTTCGTGCTGGTCGTGGATGCCTCGATCAAATCTTTACCCTCCGACAGCTGCTAGAGCACCGTCATGCTTATCAAAGGCCGACGATCATTATATTCTTAGACATCCCCGCGGTCTTCGACTCTGTCAGTAGGACCGCACTATGGAGGTGTTTGTTGAAGAGTGGAGTACCTGAGAAGTATGTGTCCATCCTCAAAGAGTTGTATCGTCATACCTCAGGTCGGTTTAGGGCCTATGGCCAACTTTCGCCACCTTTCGCCGTCTCCAGTGGAGTTTGGCAAGCAAACGGTGGAGTCGAACTCCTCCCAGGGAACAGAGTCCTTGGTTTAGAATATGCCAGTGACATTGCCTTGCTGGGTGACAACACAC